CTAAAAGTTACAATGATGTAGGTGTTTACCAGTGTTGGGTCAGGTATAGGACAAAATTATCCAAATACCGGATATGGATACCTACAAAGTATCCGGAGACTTTAAAAAAGTACGGATACTTTCACCTAAAAATGTACTCGGATACAAATATTCGGATACTTTAAATTTTAAAGGATCCTATAAGATATACTTCTAAGGATACTTTGTAACGATACTTTTAAGGATACTTTTAAGGATACTTTTAAGGATACTTTTAAGGATACTTTTAAGGATACTTTTAAGGATACTTTTAAGGATACTTTTAAGGATACTTTTAAGGATACTTTTAAGGATACTTTTAAGGATACTTTTAAGGATACTTTTAAGGATACTTTTAAGGATACTTTTAAGGATACTTTTAAGGATACTTTTAAGGATACTTTTAAGAATACTTGTCAGGATACTTGTAATGATACTTTTAAGGATACTTTTAAGGATACTTTACTTTTAAGGATACTTTTAAGGATACTTTTAAGAGTTATTGCAGTAAATTTGCAGTAGGTATCTCCTCCAATACTCCCACCTCAAAAGATAGAAACCCTTGTCAGAGACATTCATTCAATTGCATCCGTAACTACCGTATAGGACACGGATAGACAACTATTGTTTTGGGATGGACTCAGTATAATTCGATAGGCGGTGTATTGTGTTAGTGTTATTAAAAATTTGTATTTTAAATATTGTAAAGATATTAAAAGCATGGGAAGAAGAAAGGATTCTTATGTTAAGAGAAAGAATTTTAAAACCACGGGCCTTAATTTAAATAGGGCTAAAGTAAAAACTTTTGTTCGGTCTATTTTAGGTGGTGTTTTAGGTAAGAAACTAAATTAAGGACATATAAAATATATTTCCGAAGTTCCTATTACTTTCGTATTAATGATAATTGATTTTTAAAATATTTAAAAGACTAAATTTGAGTCCGAAATAATTATTTTCAATTCTTGAGTAATTTGGATCATGAAATTCTGGTAAATTACTAAGTGTTTCTTTTTTCTTTTCTTTAAGATCGTGATGAATTTTCTACAACAACATCAAATATAATTTTGGAAAAGTTAAATAGAACATCTTACGTAGTATTTACATTATATAAATGATTAAATGAATTTATTTAATTATTTTTAGGAAAATATACAAAATTCTTCAAAAAAAGAGCAAGAAAATAATGTAAAGGACTTTTTTATGGTATGACATTTTTTTCTATACCTATTCTACACGTATGTATTTATATAATAATTAGAATATCTAATTTTAATTAAATTACTTTTTTAGATGAATAATGATGAAAATTATGAAGTTATAATATCTGAACAAATTACGAAGGTTTGAAACATAATTTTTTTACAAATATTTGGCACCGTTTTAACTTCAGAAAATGTCATTAATTTGTTTTTTGTTGAATTATAAATATATTTTATGTACCTATCTATTTTAGGAAAATTTGCAACATTTTTATCGACCGAGAATATCCATATTTAGGTTGGTAAATAATATTTAATATTTTTCTTATTTAAAAATATGCCGACTCTGGTAGGTACCGTTTATTTTATATTAAAAATAAAAAATATAAAATATTTGTATACACTAAAAACACTAGAAAAAAAGATATAAAAAATTACTATTTTTTAGGTGCAACACCAGATGGAATCGTTGGCGATGATCTTGTGGTTGAGGTAAAATGTCCATATTCAGCGTATAAAATGGAAGTGGACGACGCAATAGAAAAAAAGAAAATTCCGTTTTGGATTACTGATAAAAAACTGGGGAATATGTAGTAAATACAGAATACAAATGGTATTACCAAATACAAGGCCAGTTACATATTACTGGCCGGAAAGGATGTATCTTTGGTGTTTGGACAGACCATAAATATCCACTCAAAGTAGAATACATACTAAAGAGAAATGATTTCTGGCAAAACAAAATGGAACAAAAATTAAAAAGTTTTTTTATGAATTGTATATTACGAGAACTGGTAGATCCAAGACACGTAAGAGGGATGCCATTAAGGGAACCAGCTTATATTTTAGAAGCAATAGAAAACAAAAACAAAACAAAAAGGATTCAAAAATAAAACAAAACTAGTTTGTTTTTAATTTATTAACGTCGGTTTAAAATGTGGTGTAACTCTTTTTCTTCCTTATATCATTTTCAAAAGTATTTTAAGTTTGGACAAGCCCTTGATAGATTTGTTATTTCTTATTAAAATTTGATAAAGATTTCTTCATTTTTTTTTAAATAAACATTCATGAATTACCCTTTAGCTTTTTATTAAAAACGTTTACATGATGGTTCCATCGTTTTAAAAAAAAAGTTAATAAAATATATTTATTTTTGTGACTTCTAGAATTAAACGAATTTGCTCGAAATTCACACATTTCGATTGTAATAGTAAACAGTGCAACAGCTCTTAACTAATTAACAATATTTCCTTTTAACAAACTGTGTAGGTATTTAGGAATGTACCTAATAATTATTATTTTTACATGGACGAATGTAAAGAACCATTAATGGCATTGTTAATGATGGGTCAGTTCAGCACTGATAAAAATTGAAATACGCCAAACAAACTTCGGGCAGTGCTTTGCAATAGTCGATTGAGAACGAGTCATGCCGAGCGATGCGTCGATGAAAATGCAATCGTAGAGAGAAGGGAGTCAAAATATTTAGTTTTATAGGTATTTCTCGGAATAACAACTCTCCGTATTTATATGATTACATCTTTATTTCAAATCCAATTTTAATTATTATTTTTTTATTCTCTTGAGAAAAGATGAAACTACATTTACATCGTTGTATTTGAAAAACAATGTATTTTTAATACAGTATGTCGCTAATGTATGGAATAAATTCATTATAATGGAAGTAGCTGGTTTTTCGAAAAAATGCTCGGACAGGTCAATTTTGTTTACTTAAAGCGCAATTTTTTAAATAAAATTCAATTTTCCCCCACTTCCCATTTTTGGGCAGTGACGTCATTGACAATTTTTTTAAATAGCAACCCCAATTTTTTTTTCTTGATTTTGATAGATCTTGCAATTTCCTACTCGGAAACATGATATTTGAAATATCTGACATAACAATTTTTTTTGAAAAAAAATCATTTCAAGATCAGATACATAAATTTTATGTTATTTTGAAACACAATAAATTAATAACAGATAATTATTTGTAATTAAATGCTTAATCTAACAAAATAATAATAAAAAAAATAATAATAAAAAGAATTTGTGAAATTGTCATTAAATTCGTTTTATTATTATTATTATTTTTTTTTAAATTAAGCACTTAATTACAAATAATTATCTTTTATTAATTTATTGTGTTTCAAAATAACATAAAATTTATGTATCTGATCTTGAAATGACTTTTTTTCAAAAAAAATTGTTATGTCAGATATTTCAAATATTACGTTTCCAAGTAGGAAATTGCAAGATCTATCAAAATCAAGAAAAAAAAATTGGGGTTGCTATTTAAAAAAATTGTCAATGACGTCACTGCCCAAAAATGGGAAGTGGGGGAAAATTGAATTTTATTTAAAAAATTGCGCTTTAAGTAAACAAAATTGACCTGTCCGAGCATTTTTTCGAAAAACCAGCTACTTCCATTATAATGAATTTATTCCATACATTAGCGACATACTGTATAATAATTTGTCTGGTAAAGTTAGATTCTTTTAACAATTTTATTGAACTTATAGATTTTTTCTGGTTGAACCGTTTATATTTTAATCAAAAGCGTCTGTAGGATTATAGTACAAGCCTTTATCTTTTTGCAAAAAAAAAAACATTAATAAAATATATTCATTATTGTGCCGTCTAGAATAAAAACCAAATACTCGAAATTCACACATTTTGATTGCATTTGTGAGCAGTGCAATAGCTGCTCTTAAGGATACTTTTAAGGATACTTTTAAGGATACTTTTAAGGATACTTTTAGAGATACTTTTAAGGAGGTCCTTTAGCCACCCCTTTCGCCACCAATGTTAAATAAAAAATATTAGATTATGACTAAAATTAATTTTTTTTTCTATTAGTTGAAGTCCTTATTTATCTAATAGTGAACTTTTAACTACCTTACCGTGCAAATTTTTGAGATTTTTTTTTAAAGTGTGAATATTTTTACAGTGTCTTACGAGAAAGTAATACCTCAACAACAATTCTCGAATTATACTATTAAACAGAAATACATACACAGACACATTGATTAGATGGAGTAGAAAAAAACTAAAAATAAGGTTTTTGAAATATTTAGGTTTTGTTTTTTACAATAAAATATATGGGTTACCGTGGAATTTATTGAGAAATTAATATTAAAAAATCACAAAAAATTGTCAACTAGGTTACTTGAAATTTTTTTTTTATTATTTTCGGGCTCAGAATGATCAGAAACATGAAAAAAAGTTTTAAAAAATGGGGGTCAGAAAATTTTTTCGTCTGCACGAACGCAATACTGAGACCCATAGTAAGGGCCTCAGTAATTTTAAAGAATACCGACATTATAAATTTTAAAGAGTAGCAAAACAAAACTACAAATCGTAATAAAATTATTAATCCTAAATATTGTAATATTAAAAAAACACGAATTTTATTTTCAATTATATAAGATTATGTTATGTTGAGTATGGGCTATGTCCCCTGCGTAACCTTTTTAGGTTTACTTAAGAAGTTCTTTATGTTAATACAAATTTTATAAAAAATGCGTTAGTAAAAATAAACATTATTTATTATTATAAATATACTGCGACTTAAAACATCTATTGTTCCCACTAATGCATCAAGAAAATAGTATAGATGCCTATAACGATCCTTCCAATCCTATTCTTTTTAAGGAAGTGTAGGATTTGGAGTGGCTTCAAATTAGGTAGATCGCCCTCTTCTATTTAGTATGACCCGTGTCCTTGGATTCTGAAGTGAAAATTCTGCACTTTTAGGTTTTTTAGGTTTTTAACATTTTTAAGGTA